CCAAGTGTCCGAAAACACAACCCTCTCTCTTTTCCTCCATACCCAAATCTCTAAAAACGGGGCTGCAACGGAGCTGATTATTTAAATTTTTCTGACGTCAGAAAAGGGGTGCTCCGCCTATGGGCAACTCTCCACCTATCAGGGGAATGAGAGACCGCTGGAAAGTGCTGGAGACGCTGTAGTACATATGCCAGGCCTGTAAGTGGCGCTGTAGTCTGCCACAAAAGCAGAATCAGCCCTTGCAAAAAAAGGGCTGGAAAAGAGCAAATAGAGCGAAATGAGGCATGGCTAAAATGCATGATCTGTTTGGTATTCTGTGAAAAAACTTCACGGAGATGTTTTATATAGGTATGGCCCTACAATATATGTTTCAAATATAGCATGATAGGTCCACTTTAAGAAACACCACCCAACTCAGTGAACACCTCCAAATGTTGATTTTACAGTAATTAGCATAAAGTTCGCCTTTATATTGTTGAAAGTTCAAGACAAAGAAGCACTTTGGCAAGTCTTGGCATAAAGTGCCAGTTTTGAGGCTCCATTCCTACCATCTAGAGATGTTGAACAGCTCTTATCATGCCAGTTAGGTACTTCTGGGTCAGTTCATTCAGTAAGCAACCTTCCTAAGCAAAACAGACTTCAACTGCAACTAAATTCTCAAAACAGCTAAGCAGCCGTCAGTGAGAGGAATCACTGGTGTCCCCCTTCAGAGTTACACATCCCCACACTGAGGATGGACTAATGAGCATCCAGGTTTCTGGTTCCCTCTGACCCACCCTGTTCCTGTCTCTCCTGCAGGTGACCAGCTGTGCCTGGGTGCCTGATGGCTGCCAGCTATTTACAGGCAGCAAGTGTGGAGTCATCACCGCCTACAGCAACCGCTTCACCAACACCACGGTGGGTTACCATGGCAACGTCCCCCTCTAACCTTCCGCCTCCACATCGACACCCAAACCACCCACCTCACATTACCCCCCCCCACCACCACCCCTCTCAGCTTCATTAGTCACATCACAGTTGCCCTTGAAACACATTTCCAGCGAGTCCACAAGTGGGATTAGAGGTTCAGTCATCAGAGAGGCTTTCAGAGTTTCATCGCTCCCCGCCAATAGGCATCCATGTGTCCTGTTTCTCTGCCTCTGAAGGGGCTTTCTGCAGCCATTGATTTGTGCTGTTCAGAAAATCCTTTCATTAATAGGGTTTTTGAGGAATTCAAAACTCCTCATCCATGCTAACATTCAGATCCGAGTGTCCTCTGCATACCGTCTTTAATGTGTGTCCTTCCACAGCCGTCAGAGATGGAGGTGGAGTCTCAGGTTCACCTGTACGGACACACAGAGGAGGTCACCAGCCTGTTTGTCTGCAAACCCTACAGCATCCTCATCAGTGTCAGCAGAGACGGCACCTGCATCCTCTGGGACCTCAACAGGTCAGAGCGTGTTAAATATGAAAATAATAGAAGACGCTTTACGATATCTTTTGTATGTTGTTTGTGCTTAAATTAAAGCGATTATCTGTGATTCTTCAGGCTCTGCTACGTCCAAAGCCTCACAGGCCACAAGAGCCCAGTGACTGCAGTGTCGGCCAGTGAGACCACGGGGGACATCGCAACAGTGTGTGACTCAGGTGAGGACTACTCTGCCTCCTCTCAGCCTCTATCATATCATTCTCATAGACTGACACCATGTTGATGTGAGTTCTGACATATGATCCTGTGTCTCCAGTGGGCGGGGGCAGCGACCTGCGTCTGTGGACGGTGAACGGAGACCTCATTGGTCACGTCCACTGCAGAGAGATCATCTGCTCTGTGGCCTTCTCCAACCAGCCGGAGGGCGTGTCCGTCAACGTCATCGCCGGGGGGCTGGAGAACGGCGTGGTCAGGTGAAAATATTATATTTCATTATACAGCTATTCTTGGTTCATTTGCTTTAAACTTGTATCACCTTACATTTTCACTATATGGTTTTCACAGCCAAAATAATTCACAAAAACTGAAAAATATTATGATGCATAAAAGGACATTTTAAAAATGAATAATGCTATCAGTCAAATGAATCACTTCCCCTTTTTAATGTGTGTTCATTTTTGTCAAATTAATTACATTGGGGAGATCCTGCAAGAATGTAAATAAACAGAATTAAGAGTTGTTAGATAAATTATTCCAAAAATATCCTTACATGTGTAGGTTTAACATGATATAGATATTTTAAAATGATAATATCACGGATGTTGTCGATCCCAGTATATCCCGACCTCTAATCCACACTGATGTTTCAGGTTGTGGAGCACCTGGGATTTGAAACCAGTGAGAGAGATCACCTTTTCCAAGTCGAGCAAACCCATCATCAGGTATCTTATCGGCGCTACACCCATGTTATTCTTTGCTACCACTTGCCACCATTGTAAATAGATGTGTAACTCTGTGTGTGATTCTGATGATGATGTCCTCTCCTGCGTGTCTCAGCCTGACGTACTCGTGTGACGGCCACCACCTCTACACCGCCAACAGCGAGGGCACGGTGATGGCGTGGTGTCGGAGGGACCAGCAGCGCATGAAGCTGCCCATGTTCTACTCCTTCCTGAGCAGCTACGCCGCAGGCTGACTGTGGGTCTGACTTTGCTACTGTCCAGATCTCAGCAAGAGGAGCCGCTCCCCCCCTCTTCTTCCTCCTCTTCCTCCTCCTCCTCTGTGCAATGACAGGGAGGATGTGTCAGCATGGCCTCCCTGAACCCACCGTAACCTACCGTAACCTAACTAAAGCCATCCCCCTGCTGAGCAAACTACTGCAGCCGCTCCCAGCATCAAGAAATTATTAAGAAAATAGTATTATTATGTATATAAATATATATTTATAAACATACTGAAGTGGAATGTTGGGGATGAATCTTTGGCTGTGACGGACACTTTATATGAAGCATTTCTGAGAGTGTGATTGGTTTGTTAAATGTTATTTTTGTTTGTTTCTTGCTGTTTTTGTTGTTGTTTTCCTGGTAAGCTGCTATCGTCTGGCCAAAGCCGGACCCAAAGTGTGAAGACCCTCGGCGGCGCTCGAATCTCCTGCAGCGCATTGTCCAACAGATTGTTGCCGGAGCTCGGCGAGCATGTCCTGCTGACGCTGCAGCAGAGGGGGGGAGGTCCCTCCCTGTTCTGTCACCGGGAGACGTCCTGCTCTGTGGGGGGGGGGAGACGCCGCTCTGCTGGGCTTGTCTGCTCCACTCAAATCCGAACACTGGTGTCACAGCCCTGCATCACTTTGTATCTGAGCTCAGGGGAGAGACGGGGGGGGGGGGGGGGTGAATTGTTCCTTGTGTTGCCTGTTGTTCTGTCCTTCTTTTGCATGCTAGATTGATGCTGACCTGTAATGTATGCAGATGTGACATTTACTGTCATGATACTCCTGTATGAAGGCCTGCCTTGGTTATCCTGTTGCATTGAGAAATGTTGATATTCATTCATTTATTAGAAACACCACAGAGGCTCATCCATCCTTCTTTCTCTTGTGTTTTGCAAGCTCAAAAAGCGGCTTTAAATGCACTAAAACCTTTTTTAAACTTAATATAGTTTGCTAAAACTCTGAAGAAGCCAATTACCAAACAGCATTAGACGAGTGAAGCTGCAGAAGAAGCAGAGTCTCCTGAATGCACCCCTCGCTGATCTGAGGCATGCCTAGTAACTGCAGCGGTTTAAAACGGTCTAGTGTGGGATGTTTTGGTTAAAGCATCATGTCCAGCAGACTGAGGTTAGAGCAGTTAGCATTTCCTGCACTGATGAGGTTTACAGCTTATTTTAAAATACACTACACTGACCCAATCGACCAAACATGTATTTCCTTAAGCTCCATGCAGCTACTCTTTACATTCCCATTTTACCTACGGCACTTTCCGTTTGTCTGTTAGTATGAGTGAAATGGTAGTCAAAGCACTTTTTTATCAGCTACCATTTTATTCAAGGAAAGCCAATAATCTGTGTATTTACCATGAACTGAGCCTTGATTTAATTCCACTAATCCAGAAAGCAATATCAAACATGCAATAGGTACTTTTTGTCAGAAGGGGTTTGTTTAACACAGCTGTGAAAAAAAAGTTGTTTTGCCTTTGTGCCGACCGCAGTGAGCCTTGTGAGTTGGAAAATGATGTCTTAACTCTCACACTTGGTGTTTGACTTGTTTACGAGTAAGGGAATATTTCTTCTTATATCATGATATCATTCCTTTTGTGTTTTCCTTATTTTTGGTTTTCATTCTCAGCCCACCTGGACCCCTTTGTTGTGTGCGGCATCAAGCCTGTGCAAAATATGAAGTTACTGTGTTTGTTTACTGTGTTTCATGTTTGCAAATGTATAAAAGTCTATGAGAACCACAACCTTTTATTTTCTCTCAAAAATCCACATGTATCATTGCATGAATGTGCCCCCCTCCCCCTTTGTGATGGCAAAAGACGAGAGAAAGACATGAAATTGGCCGATGTTTTTGTACTTTCTGACACGGAAGGAAATATATTTTTTCTGTTGATAAATGTATCTATGCATAATTTAAGATCGTTGTCTTGAGTTACTGAAATGATGTCCTTTCTTTGACCTGGGCTGATTTTGCAGTTGGCATCGTGAACTGAAAATTAGAAAGAATATGTGTTTCTGTTTGTTTTTTGTTTGTACATATATGCGTGTGTGTACGTATGGACAAACCAACTGATGAGAATATTATAAATATATAAATATATAAAGAAGCATATCTTTTGTCCATGTCTTACTTTGTGTGGTGCGTTCAGGGGCATATATAGAGAACGGAAACCTTGGTGATACTTAACAAATGATCTTAATAATCTCAAGAAAAAGAAACATGTCATTCAAATATTCTCAAGCATCATTTTTTTATATGGATGCAAATTCCCCCCCCCCCCCCCCCCCCCCAAAATGCTGTTTTTATGGATACATCCCAGCAGTTACTTTGGAGGGGGGGACCCAGTGATGTCAAAACTGATGAAAAAATTAAATGGGGTAGCCTGCAGATCTCAGGTGCCTTTTGCAGCAAGAAAGCAAATGAGGAAATCAGCAGATCCTAATTCGACTAATAGGCTGTGTCGGTGCGTTTACGGCCAGTCTGTACTTAGCATCCTGCATTGTTGCTGCTGCAGCTCCTGGTCCACTGATCGAGTGCTCCCTGCCCCACAGCCTGCATCTGATCGTCATACAGAGGTTTCCCCCCCTGCTGCATGCGTAACATCTCTCCAAGTCCAGCCGTGGTGCTCACCAAGACCGCTTGGATCTCATCTTCCTACACGGAATACGCAGGACTGGTGCTGAGCGATCCGCTGAGGCGAAATTAAAACGCCAAGATTCACCTCATCGGGTTCTGTCCAGACCGAAACCAGGCTGGGATTTCCTCTTATCGTTTCATATTTGACAGATCGTCTTTGTGTGTGTGTGTGTGTGTGTGTGTGTGTGTGTGTGTGTGTGTGTGTGTGTGTGTGTGTGTGTGTGTGTGTGTGTGTGTGCGTGTGTGTGTGTGTGTGTGTGTGTTGGGTGGAGTCAACCCGGAATTCTCCAAATTGGAAAACCATTGGCACATTTCAGGTAGGTTACATTTTCAGGCGGCTACATTAATCTGTTCATAGCCGAGCAATGCAGCGAAGCATTCAGATATTTATTTATGTAATTCCTTCTTGCAAAATCATTTGTGTTGTCATGATGTGTGGTTTGCTGTTTTCTGCTCTAACCAGGGCCGCAGCTCGCACGGCGTGTGTCTACAATTTAATCCCCTTTAGAAATAAGACTCGACCATATTTGCCATATCTGCATCAACATTAGCATCGTTACATTCGGATAAACAGTGTTTCTCCCGTTAGTACCCCAAATGCAGCCGTGTGGACGAATCGATGGGAAACCTAAATGGAAAGGCCTGGTAGCTTCCTACGAGGGTGTGATTGAAAGCTATAAAATGTATTTAGATCCATGAAGGGTGGGATTGGAAATTAATTCACCGTCTGCATGCCCCCCTTTACAAAAATATCTGCTTAATCGTATCTGTTTTTTTAATACAGTTGAATTTGACTTGATGCGATGAAATAAGCAAATTGAAGCAAAACAATCTAACTGAGTGTGAATTCAACAGCACACCACCTCAGTGAAATGCTACATATTTCAGTGCACAGTATTATAAAACAGCTGTGGTCAGGTGTCATCTCTCTCTATGCTGTGGCTGCCAAACTGGGACATTTCAGGAGTGAGGGGGTCAAGGGGCCTAAAATGAGAGCAAGATGTAGTCACATTGAAATATGCACAGAAAGGCTGATTGCAAATGGAGCAGATAAATACACTGCAGCTGTAATGATGTAGCCTACATGTTGGGCAAGTGGACAGATCTGCTCCAGGTTGTAGTTGCCGGGGTAGACATAGGAAGGTTGCAGGTTTGATTCCTTTAGAAGGGTTCACAAGCTGAAATTTGAAAGGAAATGGAGCAGCAAATGTGTGCAGACATACCTTTGAGCAATGCAGTTGAGCCAAACACAAAAAATATTCATGCATGATTGACTGACTGACTGTAAAATGACAAACCGCTGTCCAGCTGCTTCCTTTTTGAGTTCTTACCTCAGATAAAATGGAGCTCTGCTGCTTTAAAACAGATTCACCCAGACAAAATGGGTCCTTTAAATAAAAAGGTTGTGGCAGAGAGTGGCTGCTCAAGGGGGGGGGGGGGGGGTTGAGACATCGCCGGGGGGGGTGTTGCTTTGTGTATTTAATGTGCTGTTCATTGACTCCATGTGTCCCCCTTTGTGCCTGTGTTTTGGCATCACAGGAGCACCATGAAAGACGGAATCGCCAACAACAGCACGGCCAGCATCTCCCAAGCCAGGAAATCTGTGGAGCAGCTGAAGATGGAGGCCTGCATGGATAGGATAAAGGTACAGGTTTTGTTTTTTTACCTGTGTTTGTGAGCAAATGTTTAAATGTCTTCATTTCATAAAATCATTCTGCTCTTATATGTCTGTATGTTACGGTGGCCCTGAAGTGCAAGACACCACAGCATTTCAGAAAACACTACAGCCTTTCAGAAAACGCCACAGCATTTCAGAAAACACCACAGCATTTCAGAAAACGCCACAGCATTTCACATTGGACGGAAAGGGTATTCCTTAGGGAGAACACTTCTTGTTTGTGATTGGACAGAGTCAGCCAGAGAAGCACTGCTGTGATTGGTTATTTTTGCTGCCAGTCAAGAAATGACGCTTCGTGATTGGTCAACACCCGACAGCGAAATATGTCCCAACACATCAGCCGTTAGCACACACACACTCAGAGCTCAAAGCTCCTCATATCTGTTCAGAAACTGGACACAAGTTAAACATGTACAAACCACAGACTGTCTATGTCATGGTGAATACAGTCGCTGCTTTATTTATGTCTGTATGACGTTGTTGTGAGTGTGGACGGAGCAGCAACAGGTTAGTTTAGCCTGATGGGTCCGATTCCATTCAGAAAACACGCATTTTAAAAGCTTTTCGCCTGCCGTCTTATCTGCAGACTTGTCAAAGCGTTAATTCATGGTTTTTACTAACCGTTATCAGTATGTAGTTACTTCGGCATCACTTTGAAACGTGTATTACAATTAAATCACGGTCAAATATGTTCATGTTGTTGTAGTTGGTATCTCCCATAGGATTTACATGGAGATACGCCCCGCCCCCTCTCCAGCGCCTCTTGTTTGAATGACAGGAGCAAACACAGCTGACAGCCGCGGTGAAACTCGAGCGATTAGAGCGATGCGAATATTGGGTGGTCTACCATAGTATTTACATGGAGATAAGCCCCTTAAAAACCATGAATTAATAAAGCATTAATTATGTGTTTACTCCTGTCATTCAAACAAGACGCTGGAGAGGGGGCGGGCCGTATCTCCATGTAAATCCTATCGGAATTGGATCGATCAGGCTAAACTAACCTGTAGCTGCTCCGTCCACACTCACAACAACGTCATACAGACATAAGTAAAGCAGCGACTGTATTCGAAATGACAGACAGTCTGTGTTTTGTATATGTTTAACTTTTGTCCAGTTTCTGACCCTGATGTTAACAAGACGAAAGTCTTTCTCTGGTCTGCATCCCCTTAACAATTGTATGTTTTGAGCTGTACTGTACTGTACCCAATATACAAGCTGTTAATAAACTTTTCAATCAATCAATCAATCAATATGAGGAGCTGTGAGCTCTGAGTGTGTGCTAACAGCTAACGGCTGATGTGTTGGGCCAATCACGCAGCGTCATTTCTTGACTGGCAGCAAAAACAACCAATCACAGCAGTGCTTCTATGGCTCTGTCCAATCACAAACAAGAAGTGTTCTCCCTAAGGAATACCCTTTCCGTCCAATGTGAAATGCTGTGGTGTTTTCTGAAATGCTGTTGTGTTTTCTGAAATACTGTGGCGTTTTGTGAAATGCTGCGGCGTTTTGTGAAATGCTGCAGCGTTTTGTGAAATGCTGTGGTGTCTTGCACTTCAGGGCCACCGTAGTATGTTGATATGATTAATGTTGTACAAATATGTGTGTTTTTACACACATATATATATATCCTCTTCTTGATTCTGAACAGTCTTCAGCTACCAACCTTTTTTAAAAAAATATATTTTTGCGAGATCTCGCAATACTTTTGCGAGATCTCGCTAAACTTTTCATTTAGCTCAATGTACTTCCTGGTCAGGGACATGCACGTCCCATGAGCTGAGTTATTGACAGATTTGAATTACGCATATCAATAACTCATGAACATAACGTTGTAAAAATACAAACAACATGACTTTACAATCATAGCAAGGTAGACAACGAGCTACAGTGTCGTTTTTATCAGAACAGTTCGATACGCCCCGTCATCCGAGCTAAACATCAAGAATTGGTCACAATCTGCAGCTTGAGGAGGGAAAGGAGTGCTTAGGGACCGTCTACAAACTGCAACGGGGTTTTGCGATATCTCGCAAAACATTTTATTTATTTATTTTCAAATAAAAAAATTGTTCTTCTCCATGTCCCCTAGGGGGCTCCGTAATATTTACCTGTCACAGCAATTTAATGAAATCATTTTTTGACCTAATATCCAGGCTTAAATATTGATCTTTGCCCAAAAATGTCAAATGTACAACTAATGAGCCTCACTGGTGCACTGCCTAATTATAATGAACACAGTTTGTTCACTGTAGTGCAACTAATTGTATGAATCTGCTGCTCAAATTTGTCCAGTATTCACAATTGTGTCCTGTCAAGTAACGCTTTCGTACAAACTACTGTGTTAAGTACACCTTCATCAGGGTTCATGTGTGTTGGAGGAGGTGCTCTGTAAGGAAGTCTGAAGGAAGGGGCGGATTCTTTTCGGCTGTGTACTTTCAAATTTTAGTGCACTCGAGCCGGTTTCTGAAACTTACCTACCCCACCTTTAAGGGGTCCAAGGTGGTTTGTTGCTCAAGCCATTACCTTCACCTCTCCTGTGACAAACTGCACATGCACATGCTTGACATTTTAAATCTCTAAACATAACATTAAAATAGTTTGACATTTTGGGAAATAAGCTTAATCACATTCTTACAGTGTCATATGCAAATATGTATGCCAGCCTTGGTAACAGTAAACATTATGCTGCAGCATGTTAGCTTAGCTTAGCATTACAACTGGAAACAGAGGGAAAGCCTGGCTATATGAATAAGTAACAAAATCTGCCTAACATCACCTCTAAATCTCAGTAATCGCCAAGTTATATCTTATTATATAAAATATGTTTGGAAGTGACTGATTCTGGGAAAAAATAGTCTTGTTTTTGAACACCAGTTTTTCTAAAAAAAAAATACTCAAACAGTTTTTAAAGCGTTCAATATAATGTAAGTGAGCTTTAGACGTGTTGGAAGTGGTTGAATTCAGCTTTAGCAAAGCTAGCTGTTTCCGCTTGTTTACAGTCTTTACGCTAAGCTAAGCTAAGCTAACCAGCTGCCCTCTCCAGCTACATCTGTAGCCTACTGAAGAGTGAGGCCTTCATATTGTCTTTCTCTTCTTTGCCAGAAAGCAAATGGGTATTTTCAAAAATGTCTACTACGCCGTAATTCTAAATGCAGTCGGCTTCCAATATATAGATAAAGTCCTTCCGTTCATTGTTATTTCCACTATTGTAAACAAGTTGCCTTCTCAGTACATTATAAACCAGGACAGGCCATTTCAGAAGCACACAATCACCTTTCTTTGTAAGAGAAGGCTACTCCACTGATATAATATTGGACTCCTACAAACATGTCAGACAGTTTTTCCAAATCGATGCAGCAGAAATTATATTATAAAAATCTTGAACCTACAATAACCACATAAATACTTGGTTACAGTGTGGACTAAAGGCTATCTTTGTCTTTAACATGCATTATGTTGAATGGCCAGTAGGGGGCGACTAACTCAACTGAGTGCAAAAAATAAGTCCTATTTTATAGAAGACTATGAGAAAAATACCCAATTTCTCACTAGATTTATTACCTCAGTTAATATTTTCTTCATGAATTTATGGTCTCAATCGCTAGTCTTGTGTTTTTTCGTCCCAATAGCATGATTTTTATTTGTTTATTATGGTTCGATTTAGAGTAAAATAGATGACATCAGGGTGTGGCTACCTTGTGAATGGCAGGTGTTGCCTTGTCTAGTTTTATCCTTGTTTTGGTCTGCCAAAAATGTCTTGTTTAGCATTTAGTTGTACTTCACCATCACCTGCTGGTTCCAAAACCAAGATAATTAGAACCTAGTTAAGATGCCACACCCTTGATTTGCGATACTTGGGATAATCTTTCAAGACTTGCTGCCCAAACTCAACCTTTCGAAGTCAATGCCTAACATTAACCATCTTGGTTTACGACTAGACACAAACAACTAGTGGCTTTAAAGTAGTATTCCACAAATGAATGTGACGTCTTCTTTTTAAATAAAGTCTACAGTTTTGACAGATTCAGGTCTGTTATGCCAGAAGCAGCTAATGAGCCTCTACCAGAGATGAAGAGTTAACTCACTTCTTTGGACTTCACAACCCAGAGTTTCCATCATTTCAAACAGCAGTCTTCCGTCTCACTTAAGGCTGGCTCAAGTGTCCTCAGGAGATGCAATTTATCAGACTTTCTGAAGCTCCCTCTTAAGCCAGAAAAGGTTTCATACAACGTTTTGTAACATTAGAACAAACGTTCATTATATACCATAACTAGGAAACAAAATTATGTTTCTCAGCTTAGTATAGAGCAACTTCTTCTGACAGACGTCACATGAAGCTTTAGTTTACCTTGAAAGCCACAGTGTCGCCTCCTCTGTCAGAATGTATCCACTGTGCACAGCTGGGAGACCCAAGTAGTTCTAATGTGGTGAACCCAGAGGCATGCTGGGCTTCGGTGAACGTTGACCACTTCTGACATTTGTTTTCTACCAAAGTGGGTCAACTTTTCTCAGACTGATCATAGAGATTTCACTGTGTTAGCAGTTTCTCATGCAGGGCTTCTTCCTCTATTACATGTCTAGTGTTTGATTTCGACCAAGTGTGCAGCAAGCTTGTGAGCTTAATGGCTGATGTTTAAAATTACCAGCCGCAGCAAAGAAAATGTAGATATTTAAATGTGTTCATTCATGATAATCATATTCCTGATCATATCCATAACCAAGTTTAGGCCTCATAAAGAGCATATGCCCTTATCAAACCATGGCTAGATAAATATTGACTCTTGAGCGCGTTATGCTTTTTATGGTTGAGGTCAGTCACTATGCTTTAAAATGGCACAATGTCTTAAGTGTCAACAGAGAATAGAGAGTTCTATTAGAATCACTACATCGAACCATTCCCAGATTTGTTGTTTTCACAGCATGATGTGTTTACCCCCAATAAGAGGCTATTTTACACTGTTCATGAA